AACAGAACATTTAAAACTGAATCAAAAAGTTAAAAAACATCTTTAAGATGTTTTCTTTACATGTGAAATAAAGAAAACAGTTACAAACTGAAACAGGAAGTGCTTCTGCACCAGTGTTGTTTACATCTTGTGAAATGGTCTAGACTCTATAGTGCCATCACTACCGAGCTTTCGTGAAAAGCAAAATTCAAGTCATTTTTCTTGACTCACTGTGTGCTCTGTAGGACTGTCTGTGCAAGCACAGGGTTGGTTTCCATGGAAGCGGTGACCAGAGACGTAAGGAGAGACAGATACCATATAGCCGAGGCGTCAGATACTGAAACCTCTTTGCTCTTGGTGATCTGGTAGCCCATTGTCTTCAGACCGTGAATACGCGTGTCACAGCCATCGCTAAGGCAGCGCTTAATGTTAATCTGAATATCTGAGAGACAAAAGGAAGATCTGTGTGAATTTGCAAAGGCTTTCTGACTTCTAACATGCATGTGGAGAGAATTAGAGGAGTAAATACTTGAAATACACACAAATACAGCCACTCTTTAGATTCCACTCGCAGTATGCAAATTCAAAATACATATACACTAGTGTGCAAAAGCTTGGGGTCAATAAGATTTTTAAAAAACAAATTAATACATTTATTGCACAAGAATCCATTAAATGAATCAAAAGTGACATTTATAATGTTACAAAAGATTTATATGTCAAATAAATGCTGTTCTTTTGAACTTTCTGCAATACCGTTTCTACCAAGAACATCAAAGTTCTCAATATTGATAACAATAGGACATGTTTCTTGATTTCACCAAATCAGCATATCAGAATGATTTCTGAAGGATCATGTTACACCAAAGACAGGATTAAATAGTAATACTATTTCACAATGTTACATTTTCTTAATGAAATGAATGCAGCCTTGGTGAGCATAAGAGACTTCTTTCAAAAACCCCAAACATTTGAACAATAATGTCCCACTTTAAGTTTCGAACAAACAACTGTGCTATTCAAACGTGTACTCACAGGGATGGCTGATGTTGGCATTTTCTAGCAGTGGTACATATCCCGTGACGTTACTGGGGATCCTCACATCTCTGATCTCCTGCATGGAACGCCGGCTCTTCCCTACAGCTACAGACACGAGTTGTGGCATGTAGCTGTGGTCATTAGACGCAACCGCAATAGCCAACCGCCTCAAAACTATGTCTGGCTTCATTTTTAACCTGTGAAAGAGATGATTCAGAGGAGGTGGTCATAATTAACTAGATTTTTAGCAAAGATAATAGAATCTGTGCCACCATGTAGATGCACCAGTGAAATAAGCAGCTTGCCTTATCCAGTGTGAGCGAGCGCTGCCGTCCGACTGCCAGAAAGACACTGTCTCCCCGTTGGTCAGCTTATTGATATCTGCACTATTGGACGAGGCCTCGATGAAGCTGTAGCACTGGGTGACCACTTTGACCTTATCCATATCAGGGTCATGATTGAGCTCTGCTCTGTACTGGATGTCTAGATCTGAAAGGAGATTTATCAGAATATGATGAAGATGAAGGTCAGAGGAGAAGATGGAAGAAAATGTTGTCATTTTTCCACAGTAAATTTCACCACTGGTACCACAAAATGAAAATTGTTAAATTCATGTTTTGTTTTCAACAGAATGCAGCAGTAATGAGTCCTAAAACCTGCAAATGAGTTAGCATTTTTGCCATTGTGCTGTTCTGAATGCGTAACTCATCTTAACACGGCAACTAAGGCCAAATAATTTATTAAAATAGTGTTCTCAATGTTATGTAATATGACGGTCCCAATCATATTAGTCATGCACTGCTGTTTGAGCTGAGCGGGCTAAAGCTGAAGCGCTGAAGGAACACACAGGTAAACGGAGCTTTGCTAGCAGGTTATTTAACTCAACAAAACGCATTCTGTATGAGATTAATCAGATATATATCCAAAATAAACATGATGTTACAAATTATATCTGCACAAAGTTACACTAATGCACAAGCTAACTGGAACTAAGCTATGAGCTAGTCACAAATGTGTAACTCCGGTTGTGAAACTCCTGTTTTGTGGTTGAGCAGCACGCACGTGCATTGCCTTGTGATCGATAGGTTTTAGTTGATTAATCAATGGAAATTCCTATTGGCTTTTTGTGGAGGACCAAGAAGATGCTAACTTCTGGGTTGGCCAACACACACATACATACATATATATATATATATATATATATATTAGAGAAAGAGAGAAAGAAAGAAAGAAAGAAAGAAAGAGAGAGAGAGAGAGAGAGAGAGAGAGAGAGAGAGAGAGAGAGAGAGAGAGAGAGAGAGAGAAGAGAGAAATTGATGTAATGAGCCCACCCCCCATTTACCTTTCTCCTTCTGCAGCAAGTATTCCAGGAAGTCTTGCAGTACAGATGACCTCATGGTGCAGATGCTGTTGTAGCCTTCCAGCACAGGGAATGGGATGGCACTGCTGGGGATGCGATTCCGGTGCAAAAATTTCAGAATTTTGGAGGCATGTGATTTGAGGCGGTCCTTGGACTTGGAGAAAATATCCACAAATCCTGAATAAGCATGAAGGAACACATCTGGGTCAAAACACTGACAGTCATAATCACCCGGAATGGTCAACTATGGGCATATGTGCTCCTGTCACCACTGCATTTAAATAAATATAACTGCTTTCATACCTGGTGTCAAAGAACACGCCTGAAGTTGCCTGATCACATGACTGAGTTCTCCTTTAAGATTGGCTCCATTGGAGTTCTTCAGTGCCATTAGCATGTTCTCTACATCAATAATCCCGTCACCCTCAGCATCAAACTGACCAAAGGCCTAAAGTGCACAAAAAGAATAGGAGATTTTTTTGTCTGTACATTCTATAACACAAATATCAGGACACAAAGGAGAAGATGAACAAAGCAAAGTCATGCTTTCACACACCAGCTGTCTATTTCACTCGAGCCAGCATGCGAATCATTTGTAAAGCAAATGAAAGAGAGTCATGGTTGAATCAGAAAAGGCACAAAAAGTACCATAGTTCAACCATGTTTTGGATTCATCTTCGAATAACATGTAAATACCATAGTGCATGAATAAAATAATCACTCAGCACCAAGGTACATATAAAAGTACCACACTGTATAGCAATGTATAAACACAAGCCATCAGTATAACCAACAGTGATGTTGTGAGCCAATCCTAGAAAAATAACACATTTATTCAATAACATATGCTCCGGAGAGGCTTTACATTTAATCAGGGCTAACTTTGGGGCTAAATTTTCCCAGGCCCTGTGATTATGGACACCCACTAGTACACTACTCCATAAACAAGACTAATATGTTTAGCCTATCCCATACATAGTACACATGTGCGTGTGCGTATGTAAAAATATATGTTTTACTTATACAAATTGGCAGCCTAGTCAGATGTCAAATGTAGAAATATGTTTCAAAAGTTAGATTTGTGAAATGTCATTTGCTAAAGCATATATATTTATTAGTAAAGTACAGTAATAGTACAGCAAGACCTTGCATTGAATTGGCTAATATGAATTGGCCAATTTAATCTAAACCTAGCTGCCAATCAAAAAAAGACAAAGTAAAATCTAACAATGATAGTCCTAATACCATAAAATGCCGTTTAGATTGGAAGTAAACTAGGTGGAGAGAGTCAATTAACAGCCTTTATCAAACGAGTGATAGAAGGATAGAGATTGCGCAATTTTACCACTCGCAGATTAGTAGAGCTGTGGGGTCAATTTCACAACTTTGAGTTGTTAGTCACAGTGAGTGAAACATTACTTCTATCCATTTTACGTATTAGTTAACCGGGGCAGAGGCGCTTTTACTGTCTTTGAGGCTTCGCTCTTTCAGTTACCCGAACTGGCAAAAATGTTAACCACTAGACATGCTCGTCTGAGTGGCCTGTCTCCTCACCTCCTCGCACTCCTCTCTGGTGGCGTCTCTGGTCTCCAGCATCTCGCAGAACTGCTCCAGGGTCACGGACTCCTCTCCGCGGCTCAGACGCTCCTCCAGCCAGCGCACCAGAGCGCTCTCGTTGCGAGCCAGTACCGACTCCGAAATGGCGACCCATGAGTCGCTCATTCGGGCCGCTGCCTCTCGCAGCTTCACCTGTTCCAGTAGAGCTTCAGGGGTGGGAAGTCCGTAGATCGGTGCCGGAGGGTTCGCTGCACTTCTTACACCTTTTCCCTGCCCGGAGCCTGCCGCCGCCGCCGCCGCCGCCGCTGCTGCCGCTGCTCCTCCACCTCCACTACCACCATTACCACCACCACCTTCGTTGCCGGCCCTTGTGCCTGTGGCCGCAGAGGCCGGGCTGCCCTCGGCGAACACGGGACTCTCCGTTTCTACGTCCTCCTCATCGCCGCTCCCCGCGCCACAGCCGCTCTCCGCGTTCCCCATGCTGTTCTTCTGCGGCCTCGGGCTCTCTTCCGATCGCCTTCACCCCAGTATTCAGGCTTAGTTTTAGTGTCAGGCTTGTGCTTTTCCAGTCAGTGCGTTCCTCCGCTGTCACTACCGCATTGACGGGCTCCGCCAGCTGACGTCATGTTTGTCAGCAGAAACTTTGGCCCCTTCCGCGTGAGCTCAGCGACACCCGCTGCATTGGAAACACGCCCCCTAGCGAATCACCGCCAGTATTTGATTTATTTCATTTTTTTAATGTTGGGCCAAATAACTGTGCTTATTTTCGAAGCTTTAAAGTTACATTTGTTGGCTATCTGGAAAGGTCATTTTTTATTAAAAAATGCGAAAACAATTTAAAGGAATATGTTTAACAAAGGGACATTTGATATACCTGTGAACTGTGAAAATTAAACTAATATGTAAACTTCTATTTGTTTTATAATTGTAATTAAGCAAGACATTTTTTAAAGGATTTAGAATAGATTTTGTATTATTTTTATGCCTACTTATATATTTATATAGTATGTGTACTTATAGTATATAATTATACTTATTATATATACATATATATAGTTTTGCGCAAGCGCATTTCCACACCCGGAAACATGTTGACGTGACATTGTTGAATCCGATGCGATACTCGGTACGGAATGCAATTGTTTCTCATTTTAAATACGGACTGCCTGACAGTTTACAATGCTAAAGTATTTAGTAGCTCTTATTTCAATGGTCCTGGCCGCGTGGACGGTGCCCGAGTGGCTCACATTCCCGATCTATGGCAATGTTGTGAATGTACTAGAGTCGTGGCTGCGGCAGCAGGTCAGTGATGGGTCAGCATCTCCACCTGGACGCATGCTAACCGAAGATGAGCTGTCTTTATACAACGGAGGAGACAACAGTAAAGGATTGTACCTGGCGATTTAGGACAGGTGTTTGACGTTGAAAAGGGGAGGAAACATTACGACCCTGGTGGCGGTTACCATTTCTTTACGGGTTAGTTCACGCATTTTAACAAGACAGATGTTTGAGTGATGCTAACGCATAGGGATTCTTTAAAAAAAAATGTGTGTTTGTGCAGGAAAAGACGCGTCTAGGGCGTTTATTACAGGTGATTTCACAGAGTCTGGCTTGTCTAGCGATGTCTCGGATTTCTCGGACTCCCAGATTGTGGCTCTTTATGACTGGCTGTCATTTTATCAGAGGGACTACACTCCAGTAGGTGGGTACCACACGATGATGCCACTCATTTGTTATAATTCAACCACAAATAAAGAACTCGGATCTCTTTACCTGCCTGCATACGTTTTTGGAATAAATAATTCAATGGCACCATTGAAAAAAAATCTGGCTTCAACAAAAATTAAAAAAATTGTTTTTTTTTTTTTCTTTCAAAAGTTTAAGTATTTTAAAATAATAACTCATAATTGCTACGTAAACTTGAAACAATAATCTGGAAGAATAGTGCTTATTTCATAGTGTTTTATAATTATTTTTACTATTCCATGCAAAATGTTACTTTAATAAACATTTCATAGAAAATACTTTTATTTTGAAGAAAAATGTTGATATATATTTGAATTATTTAAAGACCTGATCATTCTATTACTTGTAAGACTTCTATGGTGTAATATCTTAGATATTTTGATAAAATGCACTCCACATTCATTTCTTAAAGTCAAAACTGTAAAAACTGTGTATTATATGCATGTATAAATTGCACAATAATACACAATGCGTGCTAATGCATAATCCTTAATGAATTTTTATGTGACTTAAGGGGGCGACCAGTGGGGGGGTGGGGGGATTCCCCCGCCCCCACCCCCACCCCCACTATACCAACGTCTATGCATAGTGGCGGATGCGCGCACCCTATGCAGAAGTACAAATTGGCCTTAACTCGCAATTGACCGCCAAACTGATGCGAGCGGTCAGCCTCCAGGGCTCAGTGCGTCAAGTAGGGGGGTGTCCAGGAGCTCAGGGGCTCCAGTGTGTCAAGTAGGGGCATGTCCAAGAGCTCAGGGGCTCTAATGCGTCATCAAGTAGGGACGTGTACAGGAGCTCAGGGGCTCCAGTGGGCCCCCGTTTTAGCCCCGTCCAAATCTGGACAATAGCAATGGTGAAAAACGGTTTAAATCCACAATTCAGTACCTCACAGTTCACAGTCTTTGTAATATGTTTTAGCAATACATTTCTAACATTTATAATGTGTTTAGGATTTTTTTTTTTTTTGAATTACCTTTACAGGGACTTTACGTTGTTGCAATAATTCACCCACGAATGAAAATTGTCATGAGTTTGACGGATTTTAGGGTGAACGGTCTCTTGAAGGTCTCTGTCTGTATGACCCCTGTGGTGCAGGTACACTGATAGGCCGATTCTACACAGAAACCGGGCAGCCCACTGATGCTTTGCTACGTGTCGAGGCTTTCTTGTCGGAAGGGTTGAAGAAAAAGGCCCAGGCTCAGACTGAGATGCAGCTGTACCCAGCCTGTAACTCGGAGTGGAGCGAAACCAGCGGGGGACGGGTATGGTGCTCCACAATGAGGTACTTACATTTTTTTTTTTTTTCCGGACAATATTCAATACATTTACTGGAAAAATGTAACACAGGTTTTCCTTTGTAGCGGTGGCATTCACAGAAACTGGGTTGGAGTACCCAGAATGCTTTTCTCCCCTGGGTCTGGTCATTCCCGATGTGTGTGTATCCAACCATCCGATTCTGTTCACACAGAGAACCGAAACCTCCGAGAGTACAAGGACTGTCCTCCTCAAGCCGAATCCTGCCAAATCACTAAAGACTGAGCTATAAATCCTCATCTACAAGTGTCAGTGAATTTGATTTGGATTTCAAAGACTCTTATTTAGTTGTCATGTTTTTATGATTGGTTTGCAATTTGTGACAGAGTTTATTATTTATGCCATGATATAATTAAGACTGTTGAATAAAAAACAATTTCATAGATTTGTTTTTTCAATTGTCCTTTATGTAAAGTTGTCCTCCCTTTCTTGAAAAGGATACTAGAGGCGGCGACAGGCTAAATATCTGAGCATACAGATACCATACAATATGCAGAAAAGATTAAACAGAGGCCAATTGTAGGTTTGTCACATAGACAAAAAAGCACAACCTGCATTAAGTACAAAACAGTTGTAGTGGTCAAAAATATTATACATTTATCTGTACAGTTTAACAATACCAATAACAGACTGTGGCCCTTTCCCTGCCCAACCCCCCACAAACAAGCCAATCTCATTTGAAATGTGATCAGAAATGTAAAAAAAAAAGAAAAACTTTGATAAAGTGCACCTGTTAAGCATGGACATGAAAAAGCATTTAAAATATGATAGGAAACATAACGTGACGCATTACGCCATCAAGAAGACTTTGGAAAAGGTTAACCGGAATGTATCGTTAGGTGATCAGAAATGAATAAAGTGTAATTTATGATGACAATAATAACAGGCTACAAATGTCATGCATATGCATAGTGAGCATATCATAATTCTGCGCATGTATTTCTGCACCTGTCCGACTTAATAGAATCACAAGTAACGATTTGAATTCCACTTCAAGAACACTTACACATCTGAAGTGTTTCTCAAATTTTAGCATGACGTTAAATCTAATGGATCAGTTAAAATAAAGTCCACTGAATATGCAGATTAATACAAGATTGAGTGATCATTTTAGTAATAACATAAACCCAGCAAGGTATATTTCTCCATCTCTTTCTTAGTGTTTTGATTTGAACTCCAGAGAAATGCTAGAGAAGGTTAAAATGTGTTCAAAACCTAAATCTAACAGCTCACAGACCCTGCGCAGTATGATTAAGGCTTCACATTACTTACCTTTTATAGATTCTTTCATATCAAGCAACATTCAATACCAAACAAACTTGAAATTTTTATCGACCGATCTGTAGAAAGTCAATTCGACTGCTGACAGCATGATTGCATGTGGGAATCATACCAGTTTTGTCATTCTAATGGGAAATGGAAGTAATATTTAATAACATACGTGTCCATATAGCACATTAGCCCTGTATAAAACCCCTATGGTTCATTTTCTTTTCTTTTTTTTGTAGTAAATGGTACTTGCCCTTCTCGATCACATTAGGTTTTTGTCGAAAGCTGAACTCGGAACTACATTTGCATCTGCATTCCACTTGTTATAATATTTTGGTTCTAAAAAGAACTGCTAGAACAAACACGTTGTTATGGTTGTATTTTTTCCTTTGACAAGAATGAAATGTTTTTGTTCATGGGCTCTTCACAATGCGTCTTACTCCATTTCTCCATCCTTTTAGTGCTAGACCCAGCCTGGGTGCCCGTCCTCTAGTGTGTTAGGACACGCCACCCAATGTCAGCACATCAAAGCAGATGTCGCATACACGCACAGGTTTGTTCAGGTCAAATTTGATGATGGGGATCTCTTTTATAGAGCACTTATGGCAGAGCAGACGCCCACAATGGCGGCTATGAGACAAAGAAAAGACAAAGAATGGGTTGTTAGAACAAGGGAAGATGACAAAACATCATAAATGAAGGGAAAAGAAACAATGAAAGGAGGAAACGAGGTCTCCATTCTTGACAAAGGCAGACAGATTAAACTCAGTTGGCTACATACCAGTGATGTTTCCTGGTGGTGACTCCAAATTTGGTTATACATTCATAGCAGTTTGATCCATCACACCACGGGGGCTCTTTGGAAAGCATGTCTTTTAAAACATGATACAAAAGACTAGTTAGGTATAACTACTACAAGCACGGTACATGTTGTAAAAACACTAACCCTGTATCTTTTACCTAGCAGACGGAACAGAAGCTGCTTAGTGGCAACTTGATAGTTGAAGATGTTGATGCCCTGGTTGTTAGTGACGCCGAGTCGAGCTCCAGCCCTCACAATGGCACGACACAGGTTAGCGTTTCCTTTCATATAGGCCAACAGAAGCACTGAAAGGAGAAAAACATCAACTATCATTGATCCAGTGTTTGTTTCTGACAAGCAAAATGGCTATTGTTATTATTAATATGGAAAATTATGCATTTAAACATGCAGATTTAGTATAATCAAAGCACTTGTGTTTCACCAACCCGTGTTCCCCTCATTGTCAGGTTTATCCAGGGGATACTCAGGCATGCATTCCAAAAACAGCTCAAAGATGGCTGCCGCGTTCTCCTTCCCATACTGGCCGAGGACATGCATGGGAGATTGACCTCTAGACAAATGAAAATAAGGCAAAAAAGTTAGTAAATGTCCATGAAAAAGTCAAAAAAAGTTATAAGGCGAAAAGGTTAGTAAAGGTCCATGTCCGCGCTCTCAGGTCAGATGATCAGCTGCTCCTGACTGTGCCTAAAACTAAGCGTAAGTTCAGAGGGGACCGTGCCTTTGCCGTGTCTGCCCCGAAACTATGGAATGAGCTGCCTTTGCATGTTAAACAGGCCTCTTCTTTAGCTGTTTTTAAAAAAACTTCTTAAAACCCATTTTTTCTCTTTGGCTTTTGACACCTAGCAAGATGTTTTTTGTTACTAATGATGAATGTAGGGTTTTTAATTGTACGTTTATGTTTTCTGTACAGCACTTTGGTCAGCTAAGGTTGTTGTAAAGTGCTAAACAAATAAAGTTGGTATGGTATGAATAATGGACATAATTTGTGAATTAAATAGTGTAATAGTGTACATGGTGTCTGGGAGGCTCAATGTTTACAATTTTTGGCATACTAATTTCAGTCAATAAACAGGATTAAGAGAATGTATTTTAACAAAAAAAATCGTACATACTTCACCTTTAAGTACGGAGTAATATATTTTGAGTCAAACCTGAGATTATAGGCCTCAGCATCTATGTTGGACTCAGTGAGTAGCGCACGCACATTATTCAGACGCCCCTGCATCACAGCCAGATGAAGCGCTAGAAGGAGATATACAGAAATTAGTGAAATGAAATTGAGTCATTCAAGAATATTAAATTAAATAAGTTTAGCATAGTAGTCTACCATTGTTTCCATTCTCATCTACGGCAGCAAAGTCAACGCCATTCTCGATCAAAACGGAGCAGATTGTGGAAAGGTCCTGTTGTGCAGCGAGATGCAGCGCTGTCTGACGATGCTTGGTCAGCTCGTTTACTTTTGCACCAGCCAGCAACTAAAGTCAGAGAAAGACAAACATATGTTATATGTTTCAGTGTTTGAATTAAAAAAAAAAAAGAAAAATTCCTCCAGCAATTATTTTTGCTTTACCAGATTTCTGACGATGATCTCGGATCCTGCCTGCACGGCCAGGTGTAGAGGAGAGAGTTTGGCACTGTCCTGCACTCTGGAGTTGACATTGGCCTGTACGCTAATGAGAAAGAGCACACTCTCTATGTCTGAGTTCTGCACAGCAACATGCAGGAAGTTGCGACCTTTGTTGTCCACCTAGACAGAAAGAGAAAACATTTATAATATTCAGCGGCTTGTGACGTCACATATCAAAACAATGTGGAGTCATTTCTAAAATTGGAATTTGTCCTCTGCATTTAACCCATCCAAGTTAGTGCACATACATTATAAGCAGAGAGTAATTAACAGTGGACACATACAGCCAGAGCAGTGGGCAGCCATTCACTGCAGCGCCCAAGGAGCGATTGGGGGTTAGGTGCCTTGCTCGAGTGCACTTCAGTTGTGGGTTATTGAGGGTGGAAGAGAGTTATATATGTGGATATAATCATGCCCACACACCTGTTCGGCAGCGCCAGGCTCTCTCTTAAGGATGGCTTCGGCAGCCTTGTTGTTCTTGTGGGTCATGGCACAGGCAAATGGCGTCATGCCTTGTCTGTCTCGAATATTCAATCGGATTTCAGGGTGGGAGATGAGCAGCTGAATGATGATGCTTTGCTGGTTGCTGATGGCGACGTGGATCGGAGCACGGCCTTCTGAATCCTGCATGCAGAGAAATGGGCATTGCAGTTCTCAGGGCATTTGAAAACAGGGAGTAAATGGGACATATCTGCAAAAACTCTTGTAAGAACTTGGGTGACTGTGTGCATCTGCTGTATATCTGTATTAACCTGGGCATTCACATTGGCTCCAAACTCCAAAAGGCACTGCGCCACCTCCTCCAGCCCCCAGGACGAAGCCAAATGCAGCGGGCACTGTCCATCCCTCGCCTCCTCATCTCCCTCACCGTTAGGACCAGGCCTCCTCGGACTGTTCACATCACAGCCACTGAAAACAAATGTTGAGATCATTTATGATAGAGAAATAAAAAGCCATATTTTGCATAACACACAGATAATTAGACTTTACATAAACTTTTAAAACCTTGTGGTAAAGTCCCAGTCTTAATTATAGCCTGAATAGAGTGATGTGGTGATGACGTATTTTTGTAGGACAACCTGAAATTTAGCATCACCCTGGTTCCTTTATTCCAAAAGCCAATGGAAAAAACTCATTGTAAAAAGTGACCAAAACAGTTTGATTATTACACAACATTTTGTTCATTAAGATCTTCGCAAATGAACAACTTGTGTGAATGTATCTTGAGCTTATGTTAACCACAGACCTTATTTCAACCATTAAAAAACTGAAAAAAGTGTATTTTATTAAAAATATAAATTTGATGAATTGTCTTAACAGATTTTTTAAAACACAAATCCTGAAGCAAGAGAAAACAAGGAGGTGTACAAACCTGCGTACAAGGAAGCAAGCAGTGACCTCGTTGTTCTCATCGATGGCTCTGTGGAGAAGATTTTGCTGACAGCCTCCAGGCCCTGAACTCCAACAAGTTGCATCACACCCGTGCCTGACCTAATCCAAAAAAATACACAAAATACTGACAAATCAAATAAACTCATAAACAAGCATTACTCAAAAACATGGAAAAACAATAATTTCAAGGTAGTTTAAGTTGCTCTAAGCGATGTCACGTTTTTTAGGCCCCAAATTTTTTGTCACATGCAGCAAACATCTCCTCACTATCCACTAGCTGCCTGTCCCCTAAACACACTGTAAAAAAACGCGGTCTATGCGGACAAACCTGGCTCCACAAATGGCAACAAAAACAAACTGCGGCAACCCGCTCCACGAAACATAAACTGTTCCAGCCAATAACTAACAAGAAGGCCCTGGGGGTGGGGTTTGGGGGGGGTTCAGTGCAGATGAGGAGGAGG